GGGAAAAACTTCCAGGGGGGTGAATACGTTACTACAGGCCCTGCACCTGCTCTGCACTGATTGTATCTGATAATTAAAATAGCAGGATTTTTAAATGTCCAGGATAAGCAGACTTTCCCACCTTGGCCCAGGTGCCTTGTGCCGTATATCTTCTGTAGCGGATCCATCGCCGACGACGAACGCAGGAGTTCCACTTCTTGTCGGGGGAGAAGTTGGCCGGGAAATCAACTGCATACTCCCAGCCCTGAGGAGTCAGAGAAGAGAAGCAGACACTGTGTTTGATCAGACAGCATGAGCAGGAATCAACAGCAGAGAAAGAGGAAGAGAAAGAGGAAGAGGAGAAAGACGGCAACACAGAGGAGCAGATCATGGCCATCACTGGACACCACTGTTACAACCAGACCCACCCAACAGTGTCTCAGGGACAAACATCACTCAGCAGCACTGATGGAACACGTGGAAAAGTTAAAACAGCTTCATGATGGAGATAAAAGAGTAGAAACAAAGAAGAAGCTTTTTGTTTCTCCATGAAACAGAACCAGGACAGATGGTGGCTGTGATGCTTGACGTCTTATAGAACATCTAATACGTGCTCCTGAGGACTCGGGTTGCTCCTCACCCCAGTCTGGCTCGGTTCTCCTCCACAGCTATGGTCCACAAACCAGTCTCCTTCCCACTCCCAGCTGTGGGAGGGAAGCTGGAAGCTGTGGAGCGGTTGGGGATTCATGCCGGTCACGTCGCTCCACGGCCAGCGGTCGGTGGGCAGCAGCGTGTCCGTGAAGCCGTCCACTGGGTTCCACCTCTGAGGACACAGACAGAGAGAGTCACAGCTGGAGCATGAGTGACGTCCAGCATCTACAGTGTCAGCGGAGCAGCAAGCGGCTGGGCCCACCTGGTTCTCGTAGGTCTCCTCCCGGTAGCGGATGGACGTCTCACTGGGCATCATGTTGAGGTAAACATGGTGGTCGCAGCCCACGCCCCAGCAGCGCCCCTTCCCTGCAGTGACCCGCTTCAGCTCCAGCAGCAGGTCGTCGGCTCGCTGCCAGCGCTGGCCGGCGGTGGAGAGGCTGTACACCCGGCCGTAGACGTCCACGGCCCACAGCAGCGTGATGGGCATGATGGCTCTGAGAGGAGACAGCAACCAGCACTCATCTCTCCGAGCTAATCGCTGTACGTTTTATGACTCTGTACTTAAGGCTTATCGATGTCCTAAAGAGGTACGGCTACGAGGAAAGGCCACGTCGGCACTTAGGCTCAGCCTGGTGACAGGTATTTTCCAACTCTAGTAGTTTACGTCACCACAGTCAGAGACAGTTGTGAGAATATGTTTGTGGAGAGGTAAGTAGTATTGGAAAAATGAAGAGTGTTCACGATTCAGAACCTTCAGGAGGCAAATGAGACGAGACCGGGGAAATCATTTATATATAGACTGAAAATATACATAAAAATACACGTTTACATTCTGTAGAGTCTTAACCTTAATATTTAAACTCGTTAGGCTAGTTTGTATTTTATATATAATGTTATACAGTCTTATCCATAACATTCAGTTTTGTCACTTGTTGTATTTATATCTCATATTGTACCTTTTGTAAACTTATTATTTGAACTAGTCATGTAGTTTATATCATGAATAATGCTGTACAGTCTTAACCTTTCATTTTAAACTTGTTATGGAAATGTATGTTTTAGAGACATCACTGTAGGGTCCTAACCTTCATGTTTAATGTGGTCGGACAATGTGTGTAATAAATAATGGTGTAGGGACTTAACCCTAATATTATATACATGTGTATTTTATATCTAATGTTTTATGGTTTTAACCTTGGTATTTAAATTAGTCAACTAAAATTCTCTGTATGGATAATATTATAGGGTCCTAAACCTAAAATGTAATTAAGTCACATAAATTAGCATTTTATATCTTATGATCTAAACCTTAGTCGTTACACTTGGTATGTACATTTGTATTTATACATAATATTCTAGGGTTATAGTCTTAATATCTGAATTAGTCTTGATCAAATAAATGACTGTGCTGGTTCTTAACTTCATCAGGTAAACTTGTATTTTATATTAACATTGTAGGGGCTCAACACTTTAATATTTTAATTAATTGGGTAATTTAAATAACATTAAATAACATAATGGAGTCCTAATAGCTAAACTGGTTCTGTGGATGTGTAACTTGAATCTGATTTCTCGGTTGTAAAACACTTAAAGTTGGCTGTTGTTTAAACTGTGTGATATAAATTGTATTTTCTTTTACTTTTTCACAAAATCCACAGAATCAGATTAATCAACAAAGAACAAAGGAAGCAGTGTGGTTTTAATTTGAAATGTCTGACCAGAAGTCTGACTTTTATCTGTGCTGCTCAGCTTGACAGCTGCTCTGTGGACTGATAATCCGCCTCAGTATTGACCGTCCCTCTGCCGGGCCTTCATCTGCCTCTCTGGTGGCAAACAGGCAGTTACTGGATTCAAACTTTATTTTAAATCCACACAAACAGAACCAGTAGCTGCTAGAGGGGCAGAGGGATGTGGAGTAAAGCATCAGCCCATCACACGTCTCCAACAACCACAAATAAGAGTCTGGCTGTTTTTCACGGAGGCTTTCAGGATCATTGTGACCTGGAGGACTGAGGAGGAGCACAGGCGTCCCGCTACTTCGGTTCTACAACAACGCACCTCTCCAGGTGGAACTTGTGGCTCCCCGCCTGCAGCGCAGCTTTACGCACGTACAGGCGCTAAATCCTGGATCAGGCAGCAGCAGCAGCAGCAGCAGCCTACCTGAATGTCGGTATCCGATCCGCGGTTGTCAAGGGAATATCAACACACGCGTCATGACATCAGGTGCGACAGCCGAAACCTGGCACCTCCGAGGCCCATGCTAGGACAGAATCCGTGTTAGAAACCGGCGGCAGAGGCACAAACCGCCGGCGATGCACCATGATCACACAGATATGGACTCATATGCCGCAAAGTCGGCTGTAAGCTGTTTACATGCTGAGGAGGGCGGTCAGCTGATCTGCGCCGCGACTCGCTCAAAACAAAGCCGACAGTTACTCACGCAGGAGGCCGAGTCAGGAGCAGCGGCTCTGGGGAGCAGGAACACAGTCATCCATGCACACGGTGCTGCTGGACTCCCATCGCGGACCGGAGGAATGCTCGGTCCAACTCCGAGTCCACTACAGCAAATGGAGGAAGTGCTGCTCTGATTGGCTGCAGCTCGGCAGGAGTGCGGCATCTCCTCCTCCCATTGGTCGACCGCCGGCTGATATGTTTCCGTCCGCCTGCTGATCAACGCGCATATTTCAATAATTTATTCAGCGCCAGATTAATTATTGAAGCCGAGGTCGGTTTTACTTGTTTGGCTACAGTTGGGAACAGCTGACCACGAACCAGGACAAAAACAAGAGAACTCACTGGACTGACTGGGTTCATATTTAGGTGCTGATAGTTGAATTTGAGCCTTTTTCTGCCTCCGCACTAGAATAAAACCACCTGAGTGTTTCTAAAAGCTTCAACTTCACATTTATTATTTGTCCTCGAGGGGCAGTTTGTTGTGCAGCAGCTTGCACGAGCGTTCACAACAAACAAACAATGAAAACAGTAAACAACACAGATTAAAAACACTCACAAAGAAACAAAGGAAACGACGCCACCAACTGCTGCTGCTGCTCACTGCATCAAAACCAAAAACATACAGAGTGAACATTACCTCCAACTTTCCCAAAAAACCTTCAAGTACAGTCACAGACAAAAGTTTAAATATACAAATAAATACCATGTATATGATGAGATAACATATATAACATGTAAATACCATGTATATGATGAGATAACATATATAATATGTAAATACCATGTATTTGATGAAGGTTTCCTTTGATTCCTGTAATTCTTAAAATTACACAATGACGTCATTGAAACACGTGTTCCTCTGAGACAACAAACAATCCCGCATTTTGTTTTTTTTTCATAGACTTGTTGTAGGTTTTCTGGAAACATGACCAAATCTGCTGGGTCAGAAATATACATACAGCAACTTAAACAAGAAGTTCTTCTTGACTCTAGTTGACTCCAGCTGCTGCCTCCTCTGATCCAGTTTAAACAGAACCATCTGATCCACTCATTAGACTCAGACTCTACAGTGGGAAAGTCTGAGGAGCTCAGCAAAGATCTGGAGAAGAAACCA